AAATAAAAACAAATAATCATCCCAATAGAAGAATCATTTGATGAAATTTAACACTGTTGATTTAAAAAACAACGCCTATGGGGCACCTAGGTGGCTCAGTCGGTTAACCGTCTGACTTCGGCTCAGGTCATGATCTCACGGTTCATGGGTTCAAGCCCCGCGTCCGGCTCTATGTTGATGCCTAGCTCCCCAGAGCCTGGAGCCTGTTTCAGATTCTGTGTCTCCCTCTCTCTCTGACCCTCCCCTGCTCACTCTGTCTCTCTCTCTCTCAGAAATAAATAAATAAACATTAAATTTTTAAAAATATAAATTAAGTACAATGCCTAGCAAATGAAGAATAGAAAGGAACTTCCTCACACTTACTAGAGATCTAAGTTAACATTATGCTACATGGCATAGACTGCAAGCTTTGCCCCAGAGGCTGGCACAGGGCTGGGTGGATGGCTGGGATGGAGGTCTGAGGATGGAGATCTTAGCCACTGCACCAAGACAGGAAAAAGAAAGAAAACGCATAAAGATGGGAGGGAGTTAGTAGTCTATTCACACGACATGCTCATGGGGGTGGAACATGAGCTACAAAACTGCTACGAGAGCTAATGAGCCAATTTAGCAAAGTCACAAGAGTCCCCTAGATAAAGCTCAGCTCTATTTCCACATTCTAGCAGCCACTGGAGAATGAAATTTGTAAGTACAGCCCCTTTCACAGTATCATCCAGAAATGTGTGAAATACAGAAAGTACAAACTATGTACAAAAACACATCCCCTGAAAACAACAAAGCGTTGCTGAAAATACTTTAAAGGGGAATAAAATAAATGAAGAGCTGCATTCGGTCCTTAATGTGTCCACTGTCTCCAAGGTGGTAAGTACGTTCAGTCCAGTGCTCACCAAAACCCTTTAGAGGACAATGGTGAACTCCTTTTAGAATGTATATGAAATTCAAAGAGTCAAAGCAACTTGTAAAAGAACAGCTGGAGAGCTTACTCACCCTAACTCTGCAAACTTGCTGTGAAGCTGGTGGCGGAGGCCCGTGGCTTCTGCGCAGATGATCTGAACGCAACAGGAAACGCCACGGCGTGGCCACCTGTACACAAACGTGTCAGTTTCAACAAAGATGCCAAGGTGACTTAATGGCTCAGAAAGGCCTTTTTATCAAATAGCTATCATATGGGGGGCGGGGGCGGGAATGAACACTGATTTTTATCTCACGCCTTACACAAAAGTTAATTTGATCACACGCCCAACTGTAGAAGTTAAAACCATGAAACTTCCAGAAGAAAACACTGGAAAAAATCATTAAGATGTTGGGAAATACAGAGATTTCTTAGAACACAGAAAACATGAAGCCTGAAGGAAATACTGATCAATCAGGTTTTAAGTAAATTTGAAGCTTGCTTTTTGAAAGATATTATTAAGAAATAAAATCGCAAGCTCCATAAAGAGAGAAAATATTTACAATGCGTCAAAGTATTTCTATCCAGGCTATATAAAACAAAAACACTCAGAACTCAAAAGCAATAAACCATTTTAACAAATAAGGACAAAGTTTGAACACTAACCAAAGAAGATAGGTGAATGGTTATGAGGCACGTGGAAGGAAAATACATTTAGTCCTCAGGAAAATGCCAGCTGGTCACAGGAGTTTAGAATGACGAAGCTATCCTGATTTCTTTTCATGGGTGAGAACTGCTGACACCGAGTGTTGACAGGGATGTTACCGCTGGCGTGAATATGTAATAGTGCCACGGCTTTGGAAAAGCGTTCAACGGTTTCTTTTTAAACACAGACTCCCTTGTGCCCCGGATTTTCCATTCGGAGGGATTTACGCAAGAGAAGGGAAAGCGTCCTCCACCCAGCGATATGGTTTTGAGTGTTCATGGCATTTTATTTGTAACACAACGTCCTTCAGCAGGTGAATGGGTAAACAGATGGCCCTGCGGTGGAATCCACCCCATCCCCTCTGAGCATATGGGTAACAAGTATTGAAGTATCTTTGTGTTGATTTCAGTTCCCATTCTGTGTCTCCAACCATTAGGAGAAGGCTCTGGTTAACCACATTTCAGTCCTCAAGCAAGCACAGGCCCTAGTGAACGTCACCCCGGACCCTAGGGTCCACAGGCAGCAACAGGTGACTGTGTCACTGGGGGTATGAGCATAACTGAACTCACACAATTACTCGTGCTGCAGATGACTCGGAACCGTTTTGAGTTAATCTGCTTTCCAAGGAAGTAAATGTTTTGGTTCTTTTTTTTTTTTTTTTTATGAGAGTTCCTTTTTCATGACTGTCTAAAAGAAAGACTCCCATGGTCTAGATACTTCAAGGAATCTACTGAAAGGAAGTTATCAGAGATGTACACATGGCATGTATAGAAGATGTTCACAACGGCGTGATTTTAAGGTTTATTTATTTGTGTTGAGAGAGGAAATGAACAGGTGGGAAGGGGCAAAGAGAGAGGGAAAGAGAGGGTCCCAAACAGGCTCTGCGCTGTCAGCATGGAGCCTAATTCCGGGCTCGAATTCATGAACCGTGAGATCATGAACTGAGCCAAAATCCAGAGTCAGACGCTTAATTGAGCTACCTAATGCACCTCAATGGCATTATTTTTTAAAATAATGTCTTTATTCTATTTTAGAGAGAGTGCGTGCCCACACATGCAACCCGGGGAAGAGGGGCAGAGGAAGAGAACCTTAAGCAGGCTCCATGCTCAGCGTGGAGGGCCACTCGGGGCTTGATCCCAGCCCCCTGGGATCCCGACCTGAGCTGAAATCAAGGGTTGAACACTCCACCAGTGAGCCACCCGGGCGCTCCTCGTGGCATTATTTTAAACACCAAGAGAGTACAGGCAGTCTAAGTGTCTTAAAGGAGACGATTGATTTTCCCAAGTGCTGTGTGAGAGGAGTCCCGATTCTTTCCCCACTCATTAGCACACGTTTCACTTGAAAGCTTATGGTTTTCTATTTTCCTGACGTGTTATTCATTAACTTATCCTATAAACTTAGTCTTTTTTTTTTTTTTTTTTTTTCTAGGAGAGAGAGAGATGGCGTGAACAGGGGAGGGTCAGAGAGAGAGGGAGACACAGACTCTGAAACAGGCTCCAGGCTCCGAGCTGGCAGTCAGCACACAGCCCGATGCGGGGCTCGAACCCACGATCCGCGAGATCATGACCTAAGCGAAAGTCGGACGCCCAACCGACTAAGCCACCCAGGCGCCCCAAACTTATCCTATAAACTTAGTCTTAGACTTTTCAGCCACAATCTACTTGCCTTTCGTATCATTAATAAACCAAAAGTGAATGTTCTTGCAGAAAATGGGGAAGAGTAGTGGGAAAGAGAAGTGAAAAATCTTGTGCCTGGGCAGTAAGTGCCAGGAGGCGGCAGCGACCCAGCCCTAACTGTGACAGGCCCCTCCTCTCTGCGGCCCAGTGTTAGGAAACCGGACTATTCTGCAAGTGACTTCCAGCTAGTTCCTGGGCAAAGAAAAAACGGTAACTTGAGTGAAACAGAAATACAAGCAAACGCTCCAGCTGGTGTGATGAACCGCCAGGAAGACACTGCTATGCCCCTCACGCCCGCCGGTGGGGGGTAGAAGCTGCCAACACGTACTGAACACCATTGGTTTTACCTAGTACATGTGGTGTTCATGTCCGTGACCATCCGAGGTGTCTCTAATCACAGGCAGCTGCAGCCTCGCAGGCCCGCCCTCACCTTCCCCTTATCCTAAGTTCTTCCAGAAGAGAACCCGGCGCTGGCTGTTACCAGCGAAGTGTCTACTTAATGCGTTCGACACCCTTAACATACAAAGTATTTCAAGAACCGCTAACTCCTACCCCGTGAACGTTAATAAAGGAAAACGGCGCCGGGAAGGGGGCCAGGGTGGGGCCGGGAAGCCAGGCCCCGCCCGCGGCCTCAAGTGCAGACCCAACAGGAAGTCTGATCGTAGGTTAGAAACTGAGAGGAAGGGAAGCTGGACGGAAACAACAAGGAAGAAACAAAATTTGCTAAAAAGCAAACAAGCATTAAGAAGTAAGGGGGGGGGCGGGAGGGGGAGGAAGCCACCAGAATCAAGGACTGGTCGCTAGAGTGACAGGCAGTAATCAAGGTCTCCAGAGGCGGTGCGATGGGAAGGTCTCAGGGAGGCGGCAGGACAAGGGGAGAAGGAAGGAGCCGGGAAACTCGGTGTCTGAGGAACGGTACCAAGGTTTGGGGGTGAGGGGGTAGAAGCAGGGGTGACGGAGCTCCAGACAGCAACGAAAGAAAAGAGAAGACCGAGGGAGACTTTAGGCAAACCAGGGAAAGGTGACTTTACACTCGGGCAATATGGAGTGAGCCAGAAAGGTATTTCCGGAAGGTTCTAGAAGCAGAAAGACTGATTTCCTTTACCGTGGCACGCGGGGATATAAGCGACACCAGCGTTTCCTTACTTTCGGGATAAATGGTGCCCCCGCCCCGTTCCGACACATCCCTCGGGAGGGTTGTCACAGCTTTAAGTCACGGTGTAACCCCTGAAACCCCTTCAACCAGGATTTCGTCTAACCCTGTTAAGTGATTTGAGTTGTTTAGAAAAAAAGCTGTTGTGTTTCAAACGTGAATTGTGACATTCGGTACACGTGTTCCACCCCCTCCCCACCCTTGGGCCCCCACTTCGGCCTCCTCGAGTGTCAGCGGCCAGAGGAGCCCCGCGGCGAGGGAGGAGCATGTTGGCGTTGCGGCCCCGCGGAAACCCTCAGCGCGGGGCTCATGTCCGCGGGGGGCCGGGGCGGCGGGGGTCGCGGTCCTCGGCAGAACAGCGGCGCTTCCGCGGGGCGATCGTCCCCTCGCGCGGACGCCTTCCCACGCGCGCGCACCTTCGGCTTCAAGTGGCCCGGAGGCCTGGGCACGCGTCACGTGGCGCCACGGTCACGTGCCTCAGGTCACGTGCCGGGTCGGCACCAGCCGAGGGGAAGACGCCGGGCCCTCGCGCTCTCGCGAGATCCGCGAGGGTCACGTGACGGTGCGGGCGCGGCGCGGCCTCACGTGACGGGCGCCGCCGGCCGAAGGGTCTCCTTCCTGCCGCGGGCGCCGCAGCGGCCGGGCTTCTGGACCCCGGGACCCTCCCTCGCCCTCACGCCGGCCCCCGGCCCGCCCGCCCGCCTGCCTCCGGCGCCTGCCCGCCCGCCCGCCCGCGTTCCAACCGCCCTCGACCCGCTCGGCTCCCGCCTCGGCAGCCCTCGCGCCCATGGCGGCCCTCGGCGGCGCCCGGCGGCGGGCTCTGCTCCTGCTGCTGCTCGGTGAGGGGCCGGGGACGCCGGGGCAGGGGGGCCGCGAGGCGGGAGTTCCCGGGTCTGCGGGGCCGCGCCTGGGCACCCAGGGGCTCCGCAGGGCCGGGGAGGGGTCGCCCACGAGTCGTCCCCGCCCCGGCGGGGGTCGGCACCCGGGGGCCGGGCCGGGAGCCCTCTGGCCGCGGCTTGAGTTGGGTCGAGATGTCAGCCGAAGGCCGGTTCCGCTCTCGGGTCACTGAACTCGTTCTCGGGGTGTTAACTTGGAAATTAGTGGTTTGTTGGTTTCGGGACGGCTGTGGTTTATCCACGGAGGGCCGAGCGAAGCTGTGCGGCCCGAGGCGGCCGGACCTGCGTGGTCCCTCCGCCCCCCGCGCCCCCCGGGCCGTACGGCTCGCACCGAGGAGAGAGCAGGGAGTAGGGCGGCGCGTTGCTCCCGCCTTTCCGAACGCGGCTCGGGCTTCAGCTTGCCCCCGCCCGGTGCGGCTTGGAGTGCTCGCGCTTCTGGTGCTGCGAACTTACACTTCTGTCGGAATGGCCCGCGTTCCCCGTAAACGTTGAGGGGCGCCCGTGCTGGAGAGGAGACGTGGGCAGGGCTAGGCCGCGGCCGCGCAGCGCCGGTGCCCCTCTATAGCGGGGGGTCGTGGGGCCGCCGCCCCGTTCCCGAGTCGAAACGCGGAGCCCCGACAGTGCAGATCTCCGAGCAGTCGGGGGTGCCCGGTGTGTGAGTGAGGGATTCTGTTCCAATTTTCTGGTCTCCTAAGAACGGAATGTGTATGCGCTGTCTCTTAAGTGTGTTCAGATGCCCTTGGTGAACCTCTCTCTGCTGCACCCCGTGTCGCCCCACTCCCAGTCAGCACAGGGAGAGCGTCCGAAAGGCAGAGTATGAAACACAATCCAGAAGACACCTGGGAGCTCGCAGGAGTGAGGTCGCTGTGGACGCACGTGAGGGTGCATACCTGCCCCGGCCTCTTGAACTCTGCCTCCCCCTGCTCCAACCTGTGTCCCTGTGAATGGGTGGGTTTGGGTTTCACGTTTCTGTTGGCCTGTTGTGTAAAATGAGTTCTTTGAGCTGCATGAATAGCCAGAGGGCTGACCTTATTCGGAAGGGACCCTCAACGCGGTGGCCTTCCCTGGTGGGTGGAGGAGTCGGTGGAACAGGTTTTGTCACGTAGGCCGGTGGCGTTCAGCGGCTTCTTCCTAAGGGCTCGCCCTCAGAGGGCAGAGAAACGTCATTAGTTCTATGCATCTCCTTGCATGGGAGTGTCCTGAACCTTAGCAGTGTAAGATGCCTGCCACACTGTATCCTTTTAAGTTTCATATTCAGTTAAGATCCAACTTTCTAGGAAAGGTATATTAATTTGGATTTATTTTGAAGCAGTTTTATCAGAAAGCATCTTTTTGTCCCAAAAACGTATTTCAGACTTCGAATTACTAATTCCTCCTTCGTTGATAATTAGACATTTCTTAAAGCTGGTTTTGTGTTTGACTACGTGGTAGAAAGCATAGAGCAGGGTGGACTGAAACCGTCTGACACTTGCATAATGGGACTTTTTAAACCACTGATGCCAACGAGATGACTTCCTTCCCCTTTCCAAATGAAGAACTGTCACTTACTCTAATTAACATGACTCTTGATTGTGGGAGTTTGTTAGTTCCTCGGGTTGGTGGCCAACTTCTTAACAATATTTGAGATCAAAATGTTCGAGGCCTATGATTTTGATTTTCTGTTGTTAGACGCGTCCCAGGCAGTATCGGTCCTGCCTTCTCTGTGCATCCACGGGACGTGGCTACATGCATGCATGGCGTGAGCTTTTATTAGAATGTTCCAGTTGTGCTGTGATGTTTCCCCATGTATCCCCCTTCCTCATCTGAGCCCATCTTGGGCCTCACACATAGTGAGTGCTCAGTACTTGCCTAGACTCTGTTCTGCAGCGCTGGTCCCTAACCACACGTGCATGTCTGCGCCTTGGAAGTGTCCGTGCTTGTGGCCTGCCTCTCCAGGTTGTGATTTGGTGTGTGGGAAGGAACCTTGGTCGTCCTTTCCTTCTTCCTTTAGTCATAGATGATTATGTATCACTGATTAAAAAGAAAAATACTGGATTTGAAAGAATCAAGCCAAGACAAAGTAGGAAGTATTTCTTAACAAAAATTTTAGTGAAGAAATGTATTGACTTGTTCCTTTGGTTGGCAGCCTCTTTCATTTCAAAAATGAGCGTTTTGTCATTTGAAACTTACTCGCTCACTCAGCAAGTGTTGGCGTTCAGTTCCCGATTACTCAGCACTCCCTGGCTGTGTGACCTTGAGCCAGTTAGGTCCCTGTCCCTTAGTCTCCATAGCTGTGAAAGGGAATCACAGCAGCGTTTACCTATTAAGGCTGCCATGATCATTGGATTAGCTGCCAAGTGCTTGGTGCGGGACCTGGCACGTAGCACGTGAATTACTAGTGCTTGTTAAATAACATAACTTATTTGACATTCCCTGTCTGGCCCTGGGGGTGTAGCGATGAACTTGATGGATGAGGTCTGTACAGCTGTGTTTCCCGTCAGCGAGCAGCAGAGCCGGCGCTACTGCCCTCTTCAGTGTTCTGTGTGTGCACCGGCCCGTCTGATGCTCTGATGGCCCCAAGGGGTCAGCACGCTTGTTCCAGTTCACAGGCACATAAACTGAGGGCAGCGATTGTCGCTGGCCCCGTCACACAGCTGGTGAGCGGCGGAGTCTACAGCAGACGCGCTTCCCGCAGCTGCACCCGTGTTAGAGGATGGCGTTCCTGCCACTGGGGGTGCTTGGAGGAATAGGCCGAAGCGACCCCTTTGTATGGTCCCGGGAGACGTGACCGAGTCTGTGCCGTGTAGCCCGCTGGAGGCCAGCAGTTGCCCACAGTCCAGGGAGCTTTCGAGGGGGACACACACAACTTCTGACAGTGTGTATTTCTCTCGTACGTGTATGTTCGAATGCTCCTGGAGACCTTTTTCTCCTGACCAACATTTGGCTTTGAGGGTAAAGTTTCTTGTTTTAGTAATTGAAAATTTCTGGGCCTCTCCAGAATGATTGTGGGTATCTAGTGTTGGTAAACCTTACTTTAAACTTGTTTTTGTAATACTTGTTTTTACTTTGAAAGTTCTTACCCTCAGCGTATTTACTAAGTGAAAAACGTTTAGTGAATGAAAAGTTATTGAATGTGAAGTATTTTCTAATGAAGTGCTTTGAGTTGGTAGAAAGTGTGTTAATGGCTTCAGGAACAGACTTCTGGAAGCGCAGCTTGGTTAGAACTGCTGTGTGTTTGCTCCCATGAGAGGCAGCCGCCTGCCCTGTCTGTGGCATGCGCGGTCACATAGGACCCTCCGGCATCCAGGCCAGAGCCACCGCCGCGGGAGGGCATCTCAGGCCCGCAGGAGCCTCGCCCCGGGGCAGGCAGCAGCTGCGCGCTCACGGTCTGGGGCAGCGTCCGTCGCACGCTTGCTTCCGCCTGCCGAGCCTTGCTGGCCTCTGAACTGCTGGTGCCCTTAACCCACCCCTCTCCAAAGGCATGGGGATGCTTTCTCTCTGTTTAAAAGCCTTTACTGAGTTAACGACAAGCCGTGGAATTTTCTCTAGGTTTTACAATGGAGATTCATTTATCGGAGTTGTCTTAGTGTAGTCTTACCTGAGTTTTCTGGAGCAGAGGTTAAAATTTGCAAAACAGACAAAAACTGCACAGGTTCCTTGTTTGCCATAGTTTGCTGCTTTCTCTTGCAGAAGCTTCTTGTGAACCTAGATTTTGGTATTTCCTGTACCAGAAACTTATGGGAAGGGACGTCGGGTTTCTGGCTACTTTTTGCCTTGTGCTTGAATAGTAGTTGACTTTAAAGATTTTATTTTGTGAAAGTCCCAAGGGTGAAATAAATTGGGTTCGTTAGACTCATTTACTTTTCTGGGGGCAGGGATTGTAGAATGACAAGTTAATTGAGAGTGTACTGAGTGTATGTCTTCAAAATGTGCTTGTGTCCCATGAATGCCTGGAGTGGTTGGAGCACAGGGAGAGGATGTGCAGAGACCGACTGACCTGTCACTGGAGGGAGGGCACATCGCTTCCGAGCCCTATGGTGGTAGACAGCTCTTTGGCTTCAGAACTAGTGAAAACACCTATTTTTGCCCTTCTGTAGAAGAACAACGTACTAACATGTGTGGCTTGGAAAAATTACCTCCGCTCTACCACAGTGGTCAGATTCCACTTGCTGCTAAAGCCATCAGAGCTGTAGGACATCAAGAAACTAGAGATGGCCCAGGCCCTGAGAATTCGAAGAGGATGTAGTTAGCCACCATCGCTGTTGAATCTGTCCCTGCCTTCTGGGATATGGCAGCCCTGCCTAGACAGGTTGAATGTCCTGACGTTGCACGGCCAAGTCCAGGTTCAGCCGAATCACTGTTTTTTAAGACCTTTCTGAAATTGGGCAAAGGGCTCGGATCTGTGAATCTGTAGCTTTTCTTGCTGCACCAGCGGCCCCTGAGGAGTAACGAGAGATCCACCTTTAAATAGTTTAGGACCACAGCGAAAGATGTCACGAGTTCTCCCGTGGGCTTCCGCAGGTCAGTATTTAGGTTGAGTTGTGGCTCCAGGACCCTGGCACATCTTCCAGAGATGCTCTGGGGCCTGAGTGTGGAGCAACATGTGCCTAGGGGTGACCTCTCCATCAGTATCCTGACATCAGGCATTAAAGAGCTGTTGACCAGATGGGCAGACCAACTAGTGGGTTCAGAGTTAACGTTTCCAGAATCGTGTCTAGGAAGGACGGGACAGGCAACGCAGGGGAGCCCAGCCTCGGTAACCCACGTGTCTCGTTCTCGTAAGAAGCACAGTGGTATTTCCTGATAAAGCCCCTTGTTGCCACAGCTAGAGACCACAGAAGTGCCCAGTTGTATTTTCAAAACCATGTTTGGATATTTCTGTCTTTCCTGGAGTTAGCAGGCCTCATACACGGCATGGCGGCCACGTTTGTGGTGACGGACGGCAACGGGACGGCTTGCATCATGGCCAACTTCTCTGCTGCCTTCGTGATCAGTTATGAAACCAACAGCGGCCCTACGGTAGGAAGCACCAGGGTCCTTCGTGCAGCGTGTGGTGTGTGTGAAAATGTTTCCTCTTACTGTTTTAAATAAATGTTCGAGAAGTGACCTCATGGTAACACAGTCCCCTGTGCCATATCCTTCTGGGTTCATCAGTAACCTGTGCTCCTGTATATACTGAAGGTGCAGTCAGGTATATAAACCATTTTATGCCCTGCTTTTGCAGTTTTATGAAATTTTTTTTTAATGTTTATTTTGGGGAGCGAGAGAGAGCTTGCAGGCAAGGGAGGGGCAGACAGACAGCCGGACAGAGGATCCGAAGCAGACTCCAGGCTCTAGGCTGTCAGCACAGAGCCCGACGCGGGGCTCTAACTCACGAACCATGAGATCCTGACCTGAGTCAGAGTCAAGATACTTAACTGGCTGAGCCCCCCCCAGGCGCACCTACCTTCACAGCTTTATATGAGCGTCGTCTCACTTTTCCTCACGATGACTTTTTGTGGTCTCAGTGCAGCGTTAGGTCGGTCAGCCTGACGTGGTGAAGCCTCTGCTGGTATTTCTGTTTTCCGATGTCCTTTCATGCTCAGGGCACAGCGGTTCTTGATTTGTTGAATTTGCTTTGGATAAACCACGAGGCTCCCGGAATTGCACATGACCAGCTGAGCAGTGCTACAAGCTGAGCTCTCCTGCAGTGCCCCTCGTTTTTTTCCAACTACTTGTACATCTACAGGAAGAAAGGGCTTTTTGCATTTATTAGATTTCTGACAAATAAGCTGCATCTGTATTTCTTGTTCAGTTACCCATTAGTGGACATCACACTGCTTTTTAACATGTGCTCTAAACCACATTGTGTCTCTAAACCAGTTTTTGTTTTTAGTTTTGTGTTGAAACTGCCATTTTCCCTTCCCCAGCTCCATGGTGGCAGTGTTTTGTCCCCACACACAGGGCAGTGGTGGGGCCTCTAGACTTTGTGCCAGGTGCGCAGGCCTCCGCGTGACCGTGGTCGCTTCCAGACCGTAGGGAAGCAGGCAGGCCCCGCCCCGTGGGAGCGTCTCAAGTTACAGAGACTTGTCCAGACACTTCTGTTGTCCTCACCACTATACTTGTGTTTGGATTTTTAAATATTACTTGGACATAATTATGTTCCACAGATGGGGTCGCGGCCTGTCAGCTTGCAGAGTTCTGTCGTGTCTCGGGAGCAGCTTAGCTGCAGCTCACGTGGCCAGCCGTGCTCATTTCCGGGGTCACCAGGTGGTTCTGTAGTTTTGTCTGTGATGGTGAATTCATACCGTCCTGCAGCAAACAGCTTTTTCTCTGTTTAAAGAGACTTTTTTTTTTAGTTTTTTTTTTAATGTTTTATTTATTTTTTGTGACAGAGAGTGTGAGTGGGGGAGGGTCAGAGAGAGAGGGAGACACAGAATCCGAAGCAGGCTCCAGGCTCTGAGCTGTCAGCACAGAGCCCCATGCGGGGCTCGAACCCACGAACTGTGAGATCATGGCCTGAGCTGAAGTCAGGCGCTAACCGTCTGAGCCCCCCAGGCGCCCCTAAAGAGACTTTTCTTAAGTGCAGTTCGATGTTACATTAGCTTCAGGTGTGCAACTTAGGATTTGACAAGTTTGTTCCTTATGTTGTGTTTGCTAAAGACACGTGCGCTTAAAACATTTTTATAGCAAACAAGTAGTGATGGTTTTTTCAAATATAAAGCCCAGTAGGAATTATTTCAGTTAACCAAGATCACTTTGGTTTTAATTCTGCTATAAATTAAAATTACATTAACAATGAAGATTTAATTATATGGATAATTGTCTGCTTTGTCTTAGACTTTAGTTACTTCTCAGTCTGTACTGACATGTAATACTGACTTTCCTGTGTTTTTATCGATGTTGCAAGTGAATGTGCTCAGAGCAGCCTCGGGCGGAGCTGAGGTGGGGGCTCAGGTCTGCTCCCTGAAGGGCTTCCTTGGGCACATCTGACTCGCTTTAGGGACCTGCACTCTGACTGGGTCTGTGTCCTTTGTTCTAGAATGCGACCTTCAGCCTGCCACCGGATGCAGCAGTATTAAATAGCAGCAGCTCTTGTGGTAAAGAGAATGTGTCTGTCCCTAGTCTCGTAATTGCTTTTGGAAGAGGACACAGACTGACCCTCAATTTCACGAGAAATGCAACACGTTACAGCGTTCAGTTGATGGGATTCATTTATAACTTGTCTGACGCACAGATTTTCCCCAACGCAAGCTCCAAGGGTAAGAACCAAACCTGACCAGTTACAAAGTTAAGAAAATCGGGTTGAAGAGGGTCTAAAATGTTAACTAAGTACTTCACGTAGTTAAAAATTGGTTTTATTTTTTATACAGAAATCAAGACTGTGGAGTCTGCCACTGACATCAGGGCAGACATAAATAAGAAATACAGATGTGTGAGCAACAACCAGATCCACATGCGCAACGTCACCATCACGCTCCATGATGCGACCATCCAGGCGTACCTTGCCGGCAAGAGCTTCAGCAAGGAAGGTAGGACACTGCTCCTGGCCCTGGTGCCGGCGGCCCCGGTGTCCGGGCCCAGCTCAGCGCATGCTGGCGTGGCTTTGAGCCTGTGCCTGACAAAGACGTGTGTGAGTGAGTGTTCATGCGGCGGGGGACTCAGCGCAGCTCACTCCTTACAACTGCCCACCAAACATGTTGTTCTCTTTAAAGGAGGTGACTGACCTCTTTAGGTGAGGTGGGACACACACTGATTTTAAAAGGGTAAAAGGGCAAAGCAGTTGAAACCGTCTGAATCTTCCCTGGTTGAGAAGCTAATGGAGGTCAGGGTCACAGACTCTCTTCTGGTTCAGTCCAGCTGTCTTTTCACCAAGACCTAGGCTTACCTCTGTCTGCCTTGGGCCCAGGGGCAGATGGTGGAAGGACCTGCGTGCTGTTCGGGGCTGGTTGGGGGCGTGTCATCGCCCCTCCGGGAGGCCCCTGCCAGCTCAGCGCCACTGGTGGTCTCCGGACCCCTCCTGGCTCTGTGGTCCTGGGTAGGGTAGTCGGCGTCTTGTCTTCTCTTATAGAGTCAAGGTAATGGTCTTAGAAGGTCCTTAGTGTTAAAAAGGAAAATTATGCCAAGTGTTTGTCAGCGCCAGTGCCTGGCTCAGAGTGAGTGTTGAGGAGTGTGATCGCAAACCTAGGACTGAAGAACGTTCTCTTCCCCAGTCCTGCCAGTCAGCTCGCAGGTCATGGTCATTTTCCTGAAGGGCGAGGGGCCTGGTTGCCTTGGGGAGGTTGCACGTCCTTCTCGGTGTTTGGCCGTGCCTCTGTGAGCCTCCGTTTGGCAGCGGCTCCCGCAGTTTGGCCTCAGCCCCCAGGTGGCTTCCGGCTGCGTGGCAGATGGCACCGAGCCACCGTGCTGACGGCCCAGTGGGCCGGGTGGGTGGGCCTTTGCGTGGTCGGGCACAGCCCCTCGAGCGGCATGCGTGCTCTCCACTGCCTCGTGCAGCCCGCCTCCGGGAAGCTAACTGTGTGCCCGTGTTTATCCATTTAAGGTTAAAAAGAATTAAAAGAACATTTCACAGCACATGAAAATTACATGAAAGTCAAGTTTCAGTGCCCGTAACTAAAGTTTCCCTGGAACACAGCCACGTTCATTCTCACACCTCTTTCTGTGGCTGCGTTCACATTCACACTGGCAGAACCGGGTGTGCACAACCCCAGCCAGCCACAGAGTCCAGAACATTTGCTGTGTGTACCTGGGAAGACACCAGCAGCAGCGAGTGCCCAGGGTGCACAGCAGGTCTGTGTGAGTTGGCACAGCTCTTGAGAGTGGCTGGACTGGCTCTCTCTAGTGCCCCCATTGTCTGGCTGTGTGAGGGCTGTGTCAGCAGGCCCAGGTGTGCACACTAGCACACACCCCTGGTGGAGGAGGGACTGTGGGGTCTTTCGGCCACGCTAAGTGCTTCAGTAGCTGACGCTTGCAGGTATGAGTCTCCAGGTAGCTGCGTTTCGTCCCCAACACTACACATCACTCTTCTCTCTCTGGCCTCGAACGGAAAGGAAAAAGCAGAAACCGTTGGAGGCATTGGGAAATGATAGTGCAATGACCCCACTACTAGCCGGTCCTTAGTTTGGCCATAGAGGATAGCTCCTCACCTTCATGACTTTTCTTCTTGGAAAGCTGAGCACAGAGATGGGCCTGCTCTGAGCAGTGTGGTGCCCAGAACAGGGCTCCAGCTTCCGGCCTAAAATCAGATGTGACAGTACGTAAAGGCTAATGTTTTTTAAGATTTATAATTTTTTTTTTTAAATAGACTTTATTTTTCAGAAGAGTTTTAGGTTTACAGAGTCAAATGGAGAGCATCGAGCTCCCTCATAGCCCTGTCCACACACGCAAACAGCCCCTCACTGTCCACTCCCCATGTGTTACTTTCCCAGCGGAGGATGTCTGCGTGAGAGTCTGGGTGGGAACGATGCGTAAGTGAGGCGGTCCCTACCCCTGAGCCCCAGCTCCAATCCTCAGAGGCTCGTGCCCCAGCCCCACATAGGGTCACTGGGAGCTTGCCCTTCTGACCTGGAGGTGGACCACGTGGAGCCTGCTGTGGGCAGCCCCCTGCTCTGTTCTGTGAGCTGTCCGTCTGAAGCTTGGTCACTCAGCTCAGCCCCCATCCCCACTTCCCCTTGTGTTCGTCCCTCCCATCAAAGTTTGTTTTCAGTTGGTGTTAAATCTGCCTTTGCGGGTACGTCTGTGCTTTGGAAAGGAATCTTGCTGCTTTTTAAAGACACTAGAGTACTCTCTCAGGGAATCCGCAGGGAAGTGGAGGGTAAGCGTCATTGCAGAGTTACACAGAGTGTCACGTACAAGCTGGCATGTCTCTCTGTAGGCTGGAGGGCATGGTGAGGTCACAGCATGTCTGCACAGTCTTCCCTGCACAGGATTGAGTCCCCCATAGGGCTTTTGGGCTCTTGTCACTATCAGGTCACGTCCTCTGCGGTCACTCCTGATCAGTGTTTACTTGGAGTGGTAAGAAATGAAGTCTGCAAAAAACAAATCCGTGCCCTGAGCTCCCCACTCCCTCTGCCCTGCACAAACGTGCACACGCCACCCCCCACCCCCTGTGACGTCTTATTTTGTGGGATGTGGTCCTCCAGTGGCCTGGGTCCAGGCCCAATGATTGGGGAGTTCTCAGAGCAGCCACGTGGGCAGGGAGGGGGTCTGGAATGAATTCTTGCTCTGTGGGCAGGGGCTGAGCCGCCCCCAGAAAGTACTGCAACAGACCTCGAACAGCCCAGTGTGAGCTGTGTGGGTCCCCTTACACACAGATGTTTCTGGTAAACGCAGTACAAAACTGTGTGTGTAGTCTCGTGATTGTTCTCTGCCTTTGCTGGTAGGATACAGGATGGGTGTTAACTGTGCTGCTGCTAAGGCTTCTGGTCAGTGGTTGGGTTTTAATAAGTTTTCAGGGAATCTGAAGTTGACATGGGTTTTCACCCACGGGGGTCAGCACCCCCGGTGTTGTTGAAGGGTCAGCCCGAGTTGCTGACGTGGCCTGAGCCGTGCATGAAGCCCAGCTGTGCGCTTTGACTCCGCTGCCTGTGAACGTGGGGTCTGGTCTCTGGAGAGCCCCCCGGCCCACCTGCACCACCGTTGTCTGTTGCTGCTGTTTCTGACATAGTTTGCGATCAGCAGGACCCGTGTATCCTCCTTACAAGCAATTTGTTGTAACGGAGCACGTAAGCCGCCACGACCACATCATTTGGGTTTAAAATACTTGATTTATGTTAAAATTGAGTCATTTGGTATTTTTTTGTTTTTTGTGTTTTTTTAAATCCCTTCTTGTGCTAATTTCATTGCTTTCGTTATTAGGCACTTTTGGGGGGGTCGGTGTCACCTAAATTGAAAGCTTCAGCGAAAAGATCCTTATCAAATATGTTAAGTATATTTTATATTCTCCTAGTCTGTTCTACTCCTGGATTCACAATAAAAAACTACTAAATGAACACCTTTTCAGAAACCGGTGAGTTGGGCACTGACGCCCCTGGAAAGTGTGAGTGAGCTGCCAGGCTCCTGTGGCCTCGCTCGTCGGTGCTGTCAGGGGACCTGGGGGGGGAGCCTTGGTCCCCGTGCCTCTGTGCACCTCCCCGTCTGAGGGACCTCAGGCGCTGACTCAGCTCAGCTTCAGAGGAAGGAAGCACTTCTGTCGGGGCTGCCACCCGTTCGATGGGCGGAGGCAGGTTCCAAGGACAGCCTCTCCGGGAGGTCCAGGAGGGGCATGTGGCCATCACTGTGGAGTCATCTGGGCGCGGCCGTCCCAGGGGGCTGAGGTGGAGCCAGCCTGGGGCGGGTGTCCACGCTGCGTCCCCGGGACTCGGATTTCCAGCCCCTGGCCCACGCCGACGCCTGGCGCTGATGGCTCAGCAGAGGATCGTATTTATTCGTCCCTGTCTCCCACGATGCGGGGGCAGCTGCGGTGGTTCGGTGACCGCCAGAAGTCCAGAACAGGAGCTTTTCAGCGCAGCTCGGCCCGGGCCCACTTCCCACCCGGGTTGGCAGCACTTCTCCCTTAGGAGCGACCGCCAGGGTGGCTTAAAGGAAAGGAACCGGTGCTGAAGTCGATCTTGTCACGCTCCATCTGAGACTCCTCGTAACTGTAGCTCAGAGGCTCCTAAAGCCAGCTGCTGGCATGTCCTTCAGGGCCTCCAGAAGCTTCTGAAAATCACGAGGAGGGGAGCCCCGGCAGGATAAGCAGCCTGCGCTCTCCTGGGATTCCCGGTCTTCCCAGGGCCGCCTCACCCGCGGGTTGCACTGGCCACACTTGAGTGCCCTCCGTGTGCTTTCCTCACTGCGGCGTCCGCCTGGGGGGTGGGCCACTCAGGGTGGAGGCTTTCCGTCTGCACTTGGGAAGGGGGAGGGACGGGTGCTTCGTCCTTACACTTGACTGTACCGTTCATGCTCCCAGGCAGACACCTCACAGTCCCAGCTTTGTGAGAACAGCGGAGCGTGTCTGCGTGCTCGCCACCCTTCCCTGCGCACTCCCATCTGGGCCCGGATTTGGGGGCTGCCTTTGTTGATGTGGTTTTGCACATTTAAGGATGTCCTGTTCGGTAACCGTTGGTGAAAGCAATGGTGAGGCTCTTCTTAAAGGTGCGGCTATGACATTAGTCTGCAGCTGTGAGGGGGAGCGGGCAGTGTGGCCACACACCCTGGGTGGGGACATCTGCCCTGCCACCAGGAGCCCAGAGCCACACCCACTCCATCATGCCTTTTGTCCATCTTTACCTTTTGTCTAGAAAAGCATTTGACTATGCGTGATTGCAGTGTGTGAAGGCATGCCGGGCGAGGGATGCGCTTTCCCAAAGCGCGGCATCACTTTTGTGTCACAGCCCTGCCTGACCTTTCTCATTTCTCCCCCGCCCCCACCTCCCCAGGAGGAGGTGGCAAAGCTTCCTTTTAAAGTGGAGCAAGTTCCAGCAGCTTCCCCATGAGCTCCACGTCGGCGGCTGTGGCCGGCCGGCTCCCGTGCCTGGCGGAAAGGTGGGAGCTGGACGGAAGTCGAGTGAACGCTCTTCTGAACTTGCCAGCCGTCCACAGGAGCAGGGTGGCGGGACGGAGGACTTGATCTGGGTGTGGTCTGCAGTGCTGTGGGTGTGGGTGTTGAGGATGCGAAGTGAGCTCCGTGTGCGCCTGTCGGGAGTGTTCATTTGTCTTTGTTCTGGATTCAGTCTGCCTTGATTTTCAACATAAGTTTTTGTTCTAAGCAATCATGGTAGGTCAAGTTCTGAGACTGAGTTACACTTAAACTCCTGGGCATGTCCTCTGGGGACACTGTGTGCCCTCTCCGCTCCCCTCCCCCTCCCATGTGCCCCCCCTCACTCCCCCTGCCCCCGTGCTCCCTCCCCTCCCCCATGTGCCCCCATCACTCCCCCCTGCCCCC